ATTAAAATACAATCAATATAAAAATATAAAATAGTAAGCTGTGCAAATTTAAAATGGAGCCTAATAACTGCTTCTGGTTCCACTTAGAAAAACCCCAGTAAATACAATTAAGACCAGCTGCCCTGACCATGGCTGCAGCCGGCCAGATAAGGGCCCTGTCGCTGCCCTTTATTACCTGCTTCACACTATAGTTGTCAGATTTTGTGAACAAAGAGTGCAGGTCCTTGTTCTTGGAGGATTCCAACTCCTTGTCCTAAGATGAGGGTTCAGAGTTAACATGTAAGGAAGAGTAGAGTTCAGTAGGACTGGACAAGGCTCTAAACTCACACACACACACACACACATTCTTACAGTCTTTCTCCAAATACTTCCAGTGATCAAACACAACTTCTGGGTGTTACCCATCTCTGAGGATGAATGAAGATTCATTCCTTTTTTGATGATGTAAAGTTGACTTGTGGAGAGGTTCCAAAGTTGATGATATGAGTGGAACAACTTTCTTCACTGGGCTTCTGAATGAAGAGTAAAATAATTTGGTTGAAAAAAGTACATTTATTACTGCTAATACCATCTGTAGAAATCAGAATTTATCCAAATTATTTCACACATTTCATTTCAATAATCTTTAAATCTTTCCAAGATAGATTACTATTATCATTTTTTATCAGCAAATATTTGTGAAAACAATGGCTTGTCTAAGGTTTCTCAAATTTCATTGTAGAGAAAAGTTTTTAAATTGTAGACATTCTGGTTCAGCTCAGTTACACTAAACAACTGAATAGCACTGCACTAATAATATGCTCTTGTCTAGATGGTTTCACGTGTGATACATGTTTCCCTTTTGCAATCATATTGTATTTCATTACTCTTATTCCATTTGGTTTGTCTTCTAATATGAATCCATTCATCTATTGTAGAATGCCCCCAGTGTACCTTATAAAAATGAAATCAACTACTTGTGTTTTCTTAAAAAACAAAGTAAAACACCCTATCAAACTGTATTCAGGTAAATAAATAAGGGAGATAAAGAGTTCAGTCAGCCTGTATAGATTTAACTAATTTACACACATACTTTATTGCTATGGAATTACTGTTGAGAAAAGTTGGGGGCCCACTGCTTCATTGTAGCAGAGCAAAATGCTGCTCATTTATAGTATTGGCAATGCTAATTAACAAGTGTGCAGATAATATCAATGCAGTGTTTTTACAAAGATACTGATGGACTGATGTTATTTAATGTAATGGAAGAGGCCCTATGCTGCTGAGGGAGAGGCAAGGGTTAAGAACCGGGGTATATCGGGCTGACACAGGTGGCCTCCAAGGCTGTCGGCCGAGGAATGCTAACAGCTGCGGGCCTGGAGTTTGTCAGAGACAGACACAACCTTCACAAGGGAAGTGCCAGAGATGGCACCAAGGCCAAATGATGAGATTCTTTGATGTCACCCCAGAGAACAAAGGATCCCGATTGCTCAAGGAATGGATAAAAGGGATGGCCGGAGTCGAAGCTGTGCGCCTTTGGAGTGATGGAGAGTGGTTTGCTGTTGGGTGCTGAAGCCTCTGGAGTTGAGTCCACTACTCTCAAGAAGGCTGCTGGGTACCGTGGAAGATGTTAGGATTTTTAGACTAGCTAGTGTCTGTTGTTTCAGTGCCTAGGGTGGCCAAATTACTTAAAGGGGTTGAATACTTGCGACTGTGTTGGTTTGACTGAAAGCTGCTATCCATTTTTCCCTTTCTTATACCCTTCCCTTTACCTTTGTATAGTTGTAATTGTACTTGTTGTGGTCTGGATGAAATGTTTGATGTGGTTTAATAAAGTCCCTTTTCCAAGTCTTGGGTCCCTGTGTGCTGGTCCAGTGTGGTTTGGCTTGTTAAGAGAAAAAACTGGGCTCTTTTGGCCATATGGACTGCTGAGGGGGAGAACTCTCGGCAGTGTTGGGGCTGGGGGTTGCCCTAGTGTTACACTTAACAATTAATTAGATTTGAAGATTCTTGTGAAAATTAACTTATACAACTGAATGAAGCAACAAAATTTAAAGGGGAGAGTGGAGGCAGAACAACCACTATTTGTTGTTTGTGATTGCAGAACAAAAAATAAAATAAAAGCAAACAACTCATATATTTAGTATTTTAAACTTTAATTTTTCTTAATTTTATCCTGGCTATATAAAGTATCTTACAATGGTCTTAAAAAAAAAAAAAGAGTGATATTTACATGTATTGTCTTCCTCAGTAATTTCAAAACAAAGTTCTTTCTCACTGTTGATTTATGGGGATTATGCAAACTTAGAAAATATTGTTCCTGTAGTATGAAAATAGCAGGTAATAAAAATTACTGCAGCATTTATTGGTTAGAAATGGAATCGAAGCATGGTATGGATATATATTTATAAGTAAACCAGTGGTTGGAACCACATGATATTGCTAATGAATTTAGCAGCAAATTAAGATGAGTGGTGGAATGGAGAATAATGGTACATGTACTTTTGGATAGCCTACTTGCTTTTTATAAGAGAGTTCAATAAAGTGGAACTATTGTCATCACATTTCAATCACATATTTTACTTGGCTACAAATTTTAATTTTCCCTCCATAAAATTCTAAATTGTGCCTGAGTGATCCTAAATGTAATACAATATGATACATTTTATACACTTGCAAAGAACATTTTATTACAAGTTACATAGTATGGTACGATAACACAGTATGTACTTCTGAGCAAGAACATGTATTTTATCTTATGAAAGAGGATATGTAAAAATTAAAACTTGCAAGCGTTTTAGGAAAATACTCTGTATTTATGTATGGAACTTTAATTGGTGTCATTTTCCAGCTCCTAAATGATTTCTAAGCATGTCTGTCTTTTCCAATGTTTAATCCTGTATAGTCACAGCTTGTAGGTTACTTGGCAACAAGCAAATTTTTTTTTGGAAATCTGTATGTGACTGGAAGCTTATGAGAATATGGGGTTCACATAGATCATATGCTAAGAATCTCAGAGATTTGTGTGTGCATAATACTTATAATTAATATACATGGTCTTATTTTGGCCCAGATCCTGAAACAATTGAACTTATTATGGGGTATAAACCACCAGATATTTAGCCAGATCTAGGATGACTGTTTGCACTTCCCTGTATCTAGCTATCTCCAAGCTAACAACCCATGAATGAACTGATGTCTTGGTTTGGTTGTGTGTCAGTTGGGTTGGAGGAAGAGAAGGGATAGTAAAATGTTGTGGAGCAAAATCGGGAAAACTGACATGTGCAGATGCAGCTTTTAGCATGCACATTAATAATTTGTGGGATGGTGAAAAAAAGACCCTTAATTCACTGTTGTATGAGAGTGCCCATACATACATATTTATTTATTTGGGATATTTCTAACCCGTCCAATCACTATGCCTCTCTGGATGGCTAACAAACAAATTTGATAAATACAACAATATAAACATCATAAATACCCCAAACAATAATAAGACTAACATAGTCTTAGACAGAGCTGGGTTCTTGTGTATTGCTGCCAAGCAATAGCTCCCTGCATTGGAGTGGAACCTAATTTTTGGACGTGGAAATATAAGCAGTAGCTTGTGATATAGAACTGGGCATTGCTGTCAGCAAAACTGAGAGATTTTCCACTTAGTCTTCTCTACTAAAAGTAATGGCCAGGCTCCCTTCCCATCATGCATAAATGGTAATAGAAACTGAGCTTTCTTAATATGTGATGATGTTTGCAGTATCACAATAAACACCTTAGCTTAATTTACATATGTTTATATTTGAGGATTTGTCTTGGTTTTCATAAAAATAATATATTTAATGCTCTGAGATATCAGGAATTCTAAAATATTCATGATGGGATCTTTTGTAAACAGGTTTTGAACTTTAATTAAAAACATTATAAAATGTGTTATGCTTCATTTTCCTCCCTTCCCCTCAAACATAAAACAATTGCACTTTCCTTCATGGCCTTCCTCATCCTTCAGCTTCACCAAAATGCCTTTCTTGTTTTTCATCTTTCATCAAAATAATACTAATAACAATAATATACAAAAAAATTAGAATACCATTTGCTTATGTAGAACAATTTATAGCCCTCTTGGAATTTTACTAGAAAGATGTGAGTTCTTCATTAAAGCATAAATAGGAAGTTGTATTTTGAAGCTGACCATAACAATCATGTATATCACATTTTCATAAACTCATTAACTTAAGCATTTTTTCAGTGAACAACCAAATCTGGTTTTGGATCCATATAAAATTGCTAATATTTAAGTAATGACTTCAATAGTAAGCAGAATACAGCATGTCACACATTCATATAACTTTTTGGTGGAGATTGTACAAATAAATTTCTTACCACTTCTACTTCCTAATACTGAAAAATAAAACCCACCCATATAATGCTCTGACATATTAAACTGTAGGACGATTACCTTCCATGTACCCTATGGAAATCTAAAGTATATAAAAAACAGAAAATTCTTGCTTAATGCAAAATTTCCAAAGAAAGCCATTACAGATTTTTTTCCCCCAGAGACATTATTTAAATAGCAAACAATTCAGGGTATTATCCATTCAAAATTGAAAGCGCATACTTCCAGCAAGTGCTTAACACCTTCCCACTAAACTTGGTGGGAATTAAAAGTGCTTAATTGTGTGGCACATGTCTGAACTGTATAATAGAGGACACATTTTCAATGTTACGCCTTAAATGGTATGGTTACACAGAATTACCATTCAATATTCTGATTTTTTTAATACTGAATTTTAAATAAGGGGATTAGGATGATTGGATATTTTTCGGTAACACACAACTGAATACAATAGCCAGGCTCTTGTGAACTCTTAAAAAGCACAACACATTATAAAATTTCTGGCACAGTGTGTCAATAGTGTATAGTGTTTTCTCAAGACAGAATTACAAAAGAGTATTAAATTGTGGCAGCTGCCAATGATTAGTTATTTTAATGCTATCCTTCTTTTCCTTCTCTCCCCACCCCCCATGCCCAAATATGGTGCCAGAACATATAATTTTAGCTGTTGGGTACCAACAGATTAAAAATGATATCTAAGAGAGCTTAGTGCTCCTAGCTTTGACCCTGTCAACTTGCAGTGATTAAAGGCATGTCCTGACTTTGGGTGGTTTTTGGCTGCTCACTGTTTAAAGTGACCAGTAATCTGGCAATGAAGATGATACTAAATTAAAGGTGCTGGCATTTCACTGAGATGCAATCACTTGGCTTAATGCTACAGCACATAAAGGCAAGTATACACATAAACACATCTTAAAGATTATTCATGGTCTTAGGCCATTTGAAAATATTGTGCTTTCCTTGGGATATTTATGTGCTGAAAATGGCACTACCCAACCCCAGCATATTTGGAAAATGAAATGTACAATGAAGGCCTTTGGAAACAAAAGGCTTGCTGTTTCCCTTTGCGCGTGCATACGCAGAGAATTGTAATTGAACTTATATACTCAGGTGTGAACAAGATGGCAGTAAAACGTGTTCTTTGAAAAAAAAAAAAGATTGTGGGTTAAGGGACTTGGGAGAGAGTAGATTTACTTTCACCTTTGCTACCATGAATTTCTATCCTGATTTTTAATATTCTTTTACATCCCACAATGGTGAAATTTGAATAAAAAGTTGGCAAGGTATAATTTTAATACCTTGCTCCTGAAAGTTAGTTCATAGGTACAAAGGCCTTTTTTGGTACATATGGTGAGAACAGAATGCTTTCATAATGTCAGAACAACACTTGCTCCAATTACCAAGATCCCTTTTTAAAAAATTCCACAACTTTGGGTGGATGTGGTTTTCAAAGAAGGCCTTAAATTCCATGTATTAGTTTAGTTAAAGAAACCAGAGTTTCCATCTTCCATGCTTTTTTGATTCAGTTTTGGATTTTTGCTTGGGAGTTGAGGAGTAACTCTCCTGGGAATAAGGCAAAGGTGCAACCTGAGTTTCCTCGATAGGATGAAGTTTTCTCAGAACTGGCTGTAGTTTGTCTTCTTGCTGCTTAAAATCTAATTCCACACTGAATAGTGGAAGGAAAAAAGAAAATCATAATCAGTTGCCAAGAAAAGGATGATAGTTAAATCAGCATTGAAAATGAATGAAATACTCTAAAGAACACAAACGTCTATATACGTCCAATATAATATGTTGACAAGTAATATTATAAAAAAGTTCAAATTTATTTATTTTATTTTATTTTATTTTATTAAAACATTTATATGCCACCCCATTCGCTGAAGCCTCGGGGCGGCTCACAACATGAAGAAAAATACAATAGTAACGATATAAAAATAACAATATAAAAGAAGTCACCCTGGCCAGATAAAATAAGCAAATACTGTTAACAATTAAAATGACACTTAAATAAAAAGGTCTTTGCCTGGCGCCGAAAAACAAATAACGACGGCGCCAGGAGGACCTCTCTGGGGAGCACATTCCATAGATTGGGTGCCACCGCAGAGAAAGCCCTCCTCCGAGTACCTACCCTCCTAATTTCTTTCACGGAGGGTTCCTGGAGAAGGGCCTCTCCCGCAGATCTCAAGGGGTGGGCAGGCATATATGGATGTAAGCGCTCCTTCAGGTAACCAGGACCCAAGCCATTTAGGGTTTAATAGGTCATCACCAACACCTTGAATTGGGCCCGGACTTCAATGGGAAGCCAGTGAAGCTGACGGAGGACTGGAGTCATGTGAACATAACGCCCAGTCCCCGTCAGCAGCCTGGCAGCTCGGGCGCAGCTGATGAATCAGCCGAAGCTGAAGGAAAGTGCTCCTCGCCACCGCTGTCACCTGAGCTTCCAATGAAAGCTCCGGGTTGAGGAGCACTCCCAAGCTGCGGACCTTGTCCCTAAGAGGGAGTGCAACCCCATTCAGGACTAGGTTAAATCCACCCTCTCCGAAGCCCGATCCGCCAACCAACAGGACCGCCGTCTTGTCTGGATTGAGCTTCAGTTTATTGGCCCTCATCCAGCCCATTACCTCGGCCAGGCACCGGTTCAGTACAGCCACTGCCTCACCTGGATTGGTGGAAAACGAGAGGTAGAGCTGGGTATCATCAGCGTACTGATAATTCTGCAGCCCACACCTCCTGATGACCTCTCCCAGCAGTTTCATGTAGATTTTAAACAGCAAAGGGGACAAAATGTACCCCTGCGGTACTCCATGGCATAGCTGCCATGGTGCAGAGCCATAGTCCCCCAGCACCACCTTCTGGAATCGGCCATTGAGATAGGAGCGGAACCACTGCAAAGCAGTGTCTCTGACCCCCAATCCCACTAGCCTATCCAGAAGGATACCATGGTCGATGGTATCGAAAGCCGCTGAGAGGACCAAGAGAACCAACAGGGACGCACTCCCCCGTCCTTCCCCCTGTACCGGGCGATCAAGGCAGATTCAGTACTGTACCCGGGTCTGAAGCCGGACTGAAATGGGTCTAGATAATCAGTTTCATCCAAGAGTGCTTGGAGTTGTCCCGCCACCACCCGCTCTAACACCTTGCCCAGAAACGGGATGTTGGCCACTGGTCTATAGTTAGTGGCCATCTCTGGATCCAATGACGCTTTCTTCAGGACCGGTCGGACTACCGCCTCCTTTAAAGGGGCAGGCACCCGACCCTCCCTCAGAGAAGCGTTAACCACTTCCAAGCTCCAGATCCCAATCCCGTGCTTGGAATTATTTATTAACCAAGACGGGCAAGGGTCCAATAGGCAAGTGGTGGGACATACTCTTCCAAGCACCTTGTCCACATCATCGGGCCGCAATATCTGAAATTCATCCAATAATTCTGGACCAGCCGGCAGCATTGGCGCCTCCCCAGGAACCTCTGATTCACTAGTGGTGTCTAGCTCATGACGAATCTGAGCGATTTTCTCCCTGAAATGCATGGCAAAGTCGTCACAGCGGGCCTTTGAGGGTGGAACCCGATCTTCCTTAGGACCTGGACGAACCAGGCCTTGCACCACTCGAAAAAGCTCCGCCGGACGGCATTGTGAGGAGGCAATGGAAGCGGGAAAAAACCTCTTTTTCGCTGCCCTCACCGCCACAGCATAGGCCCGATAGTGGGCTCTCAAGTGTGTTCGGTCAGATTCATCCCGTGATCTCCTCCACCTACGCTCTAGCCGTCTCCCAACCTGCTTCATTGCCCGCAATTCAGGTGTATACCAAGGGGAAGAGCGGGCTCTGCCCGGTGGGAGAGGACGCTTAGGAGCGATCGTGTCCACAGCCCTGGTCATCTCCCCCTTCCACAGTTCGACCAGAGCCTCGACAGGAGCACCAGTCTTGTCAGCCGGAACTCCCCCAGGGCCTTCAGGAATCCATCTGGATCCATCCGGCTCCGGGGGCGGGCCCACACAATCGGGTCTGCACCCTTACAGAGGGAGAGGTCGCTCTCAAGCACAAACCTCACCAGGAAGTGATCTGACCATGACAGGGGAGTCAAGCATAAATTCCTCACCCTCAGACCACCCTCTTCCTGCCCCGTCGAGAAAACCAGGTCCACAGTGTGTCCACATTCATGGGTCGGGCCGGAGACATGTTGAGACAGCCCCATGGCCGTCATGGAGGCCATGAAGTCCTGAGCTGCCGCGGTCAGACCAGCCTTGGCATGGAGATTGAAGTCCCCCAGGACCAACATCCTGGGGGTCCTCAACACCAGGTCCGAGACAGTCTCCGTCTGCTCAGGCAGGGAGACTGTTGGGCAGAAGGGTGCGTGGTACACCAACAGAATCCCCAATCTGTCTCGGTCGCCCAACACCAAGTAGAGGCACTCCAGCCCTGGTCTCGAAGGAACCGGAAGTCCCGTGAGAAAGATGGAGGCTTGGTAAACCAATGCGACCCCCCCTCCGGGCGTGAACAGTGCTGAACCAGATACCCGGGCAGACACAGTTGAGAGAGGGCAACATTCCCCCCCTCCCGCCCAGGTCTCCGTTATGCAAGCCAGGTTGGCCCCCTCATCTACAATCAAGTCATGGATGAGGGAAGATTTATTATTGACCGACCTGGCATTGAGCAGCAGCACCGTCAGGCCTGAGGGGCGGTTGACAAGACTACCTGGCACCCTCTGGCTGGGGGCAAAACCAGAAGGAGGATTAGGTGTCAACCATCTGTCCCTCCTTCTTCTACATGGACACGTTAAGCCCCCACCGCTGTTACGTCCATTGCCCAAGACCACCCCAATGGTGGCGCCCCCGCGCTCCCCAGGAAACATAAACGTCGACATGGCCAGGGATGACTCCATAAAAACAGATTGAAATAGAATAAAATTATAAAAACAATTAAAAATGAAATATGAAATCTAGAACATCCTTTTAAATTGGTCAGATATAGAATGATATGAGGCCACAGTACACCATAGATTCATAAGAACTTTATTGTCAGACACCTTGAACCTTTTTTTTTTTCCTGTGGAAGGTATCTAAGGAATAGTGGTCACCATCAATAATCTACTGCTAATAAATGCAGTATTTTTAAGCAATCATGGGACAACTAGTGTTTAAATAAGCCACTGTCTAGCTTTTCTTACTCTACCAACTGAATAGCACCAGGAATGTAGGATTTTGATGATGATGCCCATATATTCATTCCTTCAAATGTTCCAATCAGATTTCTAGATATTTTTTAAAAATCTTGAAAAATGTATTGAAATAAAGACCTCTTGTTTAAACTGTATGAGGCAAAATCCTTGCTATACGTAATATTGACCAAAATTGAAGCTCATCCAATTATAATGATAAAAGTAGTCCGTTGCTATGGAGTATCATGTTATTGAGTAGAACTTCAAGTCATAAAGATTGCAAGGAAGAAACCAATTCAAATCCATTACTCATTCTAAGTTTTTAAATTGCCACATTAAAATTAAGCTCATAAAATATGCACCCTAAATTGTAAGCAGTATGTAGAGTAGAAAAAAGCCCTGATGGCTGCCCTGCAGTCAAGGGCGGGGGAGGGGGGATTCAGAAGAAATTATAGCTCAGAGATCAACATACATTAGTAAAATACATTTCAGATTTAATTTATAAAAACAAAGAGCTGTGATTTCAAGCTGTAGCAAAAGGGCAATTAGTAATGGTAATGCACAGCAATCTGGCAAGGGAGATAATCTTTAAAAATACAACCCAAAATTATGTGTAATTATGTTTTTCAAGTTAATCTACAGTATATTAGTTATGTAGCAAGTTTCCTCACCTATGTATGGATCCAGGAAGGCAAAAATAAGGGTGGGAAGATAAGATAAAGATAAACTTGGGTATGGTTCAAGGCTAATGAAAAATTCAGTGGTCGCCCCAGACAAAGATTACGTATGAACAAATCTCTATACGGTAAAACCTTGGATTGTGAGTAACTTGTTCTGCAAGTGTTCTGCAAGATGAGCAAATATTTCTAATAAATTTTAACTTGATAAACGAACAATGTCTTGCAATACGAATAGTAGGTAACGCCAAATGTCACATGATCACAACTAAGCCAATGGTGGTTCTCTCTCTCGCTGAAAGGGAGGGTATGTTGGGAATGTTCTCCAAATAAATAAATTACAGAACTGTTTTTCTGTCTAAACATGCATAGGATTGCACTGGAAGCAGCTTTAAGCTGACAGCATTTCCTTGTTGGTTACCGCAAGGCATATGCTCATTCTGAAGACAAAGGGGTTGTTTGTATTAGAGACTTGGGTTGTTTAGTGCTGTACACTGACACTGAATAACTTAAATCAGGTTCTACTTAACTGTTCCAATGATTTGGTTGGTGCTTTGTTGTGAAGACCTGTTTAAAAATTATGTCAGGTCTTAACTGTGGACTTCAAGGCTTGTGTGGGAGGAGTACATGGTGTGTTGTACTGCAGGGTGAGAATCTTGCATCTGCTTTACCTTTCAGTATGTCCCCCCCACCCACCCACCCACCCACCCACTCCAAGAGGGAGATACTGAAAGGTAAAGCAGATGCAAGAGGTTATGAAGAAGATCTTGTCTACACAGGAGGAGAAAAAGGCAGAGGAATCCCTCACTTCAGATGAGATTAGGGAGATGTT